AAGGAAAATATATTCCTGCACTGAAACATTCATAAAAGCAAACCTGAGATGACATACAAGTGCAAGTATTGATTGACGAAAAGATGCAAGGAAGATAGGAAATATATAACTATTTATTTATTCTATCCTTTAATGCCTCAGTATTTCATTGGTTTCATTTTTAAAGGAACATTTAACAGACAGAAACAGTGAAAGTGGATAGACTTGCTTGAATTTACACCTTATCAGGATAGATCCTTTATTTACTTTGTCACTTGAAGTAGTTTCCTCTATACACCAGCTATCCTGTACATGTAAAAAGTGTATCCAGCATTGAGGAGGTTAGCAAATAAAACTTACTTGAGCCACAGAAACTTGCTACTTCCTGACCCGTTCTCCATGGATTTATGGAATGGTTTTAACCATAATCCTAAAAATAACAGCCTTGCACCTCTTTTTGTAAAAAAAGGTTACCCTCTTGCCTTCGGTTTTTGTTCTCCTACACTAAACATAATAGTTCTCTCAAATTTATTATAGCTGAGATTGTCCAAGCGGTTTTGTTGTTTTGGTTTTTTTTCACTTGTGCTCTTTTACTCGGGACTGTAGGAGGGAATAGCCCAGTGGGTGAAGTGCGGTGCCACTACAAAAGCTGTTGTTGCCTTCAATCCCAGCGCCTCAGGCTGACCGTGGCTCAGCACCGCACTGGGCAGGAGTCAACTGTAACAGTCAGTAAACAGAACTTACTGCGTTTGTACAATGAGTAATGGCATATCCTTGTTATTAATATAGTCTGCCAGGACGGTGAAGCTATACAAAGTTGTCTCCCTAGTTGTTTGGGCCACTTTAACATTTCCCAGCGTTTTTATTAAATGATCAGTAAGGGAACGCGCTCCTGACAATTCAGGGCATTTCAGGCATGACTCACTCTTCAGTATCAAGTTTTGATTATTGTCACAGCTACTTAGTTCATCGCTGCCCTCAGTGCCTTTGTAATCATCACTTTCCAGGCCTGAGGGTAGACTCAGACTCTCAGAAGAGGCCCTGGGCTCTGATCCCCTGGTACTAACCAGAATTATCTCAGTAAATTTAACTTAACTTCCTACCATGCAGCTCTATTTTATCCCAAAGCAATGACAGCAGTGCCTGTTTGTGATCAACAGAATTAATTAAAGCCAAGTCTGATTTATTTAGAATTTAAACCACTGAGACAAAGTACAAAACTTAATGTATTTTGATGACTTTACTTGAGGCTTCCCTTTCTCTGCATTTGGTTCACTAAGGTACAGCCAATAAAAAGTAATTAACAGGCTTCTTGGTCCCTCGTAAGTTGTTATAATGTACCTCAGTAAGCTAGATATTACATCTTACAGAGATGTTGTACAACACTGAAGGTAAAATGTTGTAGCAAAGTATCCTTGGGATATTTAGTACGGCTCCACATCGTCACAACTAATTTTATCAAGAACGCAACCCTTGTGGTTCCTTGAGTGACTTAGACTCAAAGTTAGTCAAACGTGCTGTTTAAGTTGTTTAAGCATCAAAATAAAAGAGTTGTTGAAAATACCAAAGAAAAAAGGTAGGGTTGGGGGGAGGAAAAGGAGTCCAACTTTCTGCCTCAGGGGGCCAAGATATATAGAGATGTACGTGTAAGATTGCTATACGTGTACCTGCCAGAATACCTCATGTCTTTTTGTGATGACATGAAATTCAAAGAGCTATTGGGGTAGAGCTATACAAACTAAATTAAACAAACGATCTGCTGGTTTGGGGGTTTTTTTGTCCACCATAGCTGCTTGTCAGGTGTAACATGTAGTCTTGCATTGCATGACCTTCAGTTAAACATGCAGTCATCTGTCCCTTAGAGAGAGTCCAATACTGATGCGTATTCCTGTTGCCTTCCTGAAACTTGACATTTGCCTACAAGGCCTTCAATGCAGAGTTCAGAATCAAATGGCTGAGTTTCCAAGCTTTCCACAGAGAACTTTTTATAACCTTGACTGCCTGTTTTCTTAAAAGTGAAAGTGGTTTGCTCATCAAGTAAATTCATCAAGTTTACACAGCGTTCCTTTTGAACTGAGTTTGCATTTCCTTGAAAAAAAAAAAATGTTATCGGAAAGAAAAGGATCTGTAATCTCAGCGCTTCTATAACTCCTGATTAACCTCAAAAACATTCACCCATGCTTTTTTCAAAAACACAAAACCTAAAATTGAAATTCTTTTTCTTTTATCAGAAGAGATTTTATCATTATAAGCCACTGAATGTCATCAGATAACTCTTTTTTTGTTGTCTTGACAAAGAGCTAACTGTGAATTGTGGTAAATGAGGTAAGGAAGTACTCGTAACTATAGCTGGGGATCTTCTTGCCCTTTGGAAGAGAAAAATCTGAGCAGTCTGAGGGAAGGAAGATCACCTTCTGCTAGTTCCAGATTTGGACATTGAGGCCATATGAGTAAAGCTGATGCTCCGTGTATGCTAACAATATCCGTGTTCTCTTGAAGGTTTATATTAACACTTTGACTGTTACCTATACATGCTTCCAAGATTTGAAACCCTCAAATTAACAATGAGCAATGAGATAAATTTGGCAAGAAATTTAAGACAATATAAATTTCCATGCACTGACCACCAAAACGACTGAGTCTGTTTTAACTTTGAAAATGGTAACGAGTCCTAATTTATCATTGATGCTTAAACAGAACCTAAGCTGAAGACGCTGAGGCATTCTGCTTAATTGCCAAAGGCATATGGTAAAGTATGACTAAAACTATTTTGCTCCAATGAATGCTAATGAGTTTAGAAATTCAGGAACAACTGTTGAAAAAATAGCGAATACAAATGCTTAATAATGAGCAAGGCTATGATGTCATTTCAATTACTGCAATAAAGAATATGCCTTTCAAGAGAAGCAAATGTCAAGTGATCAGCTTGCCTGTTGTTGAATGAAATTATGCTGGTGAGCACTGTAGAAAAGCTTTTCTGTAAACCTGTTAATCCATTTGAAATTTACTTCCTTCATGATAAAGATGAGTTCTTGACGTGCTGATACAAACAATGTCTCTGTAAACAGTCCTAACGCTGCAGTTGGTATTTGTGAAAACTAACCATCGTTTCCATTTTTATTTCCAATTTGCTCACTTCTGTTTTAAATACTGAAAGGCAAAGAAATATTATAGTACAATTCTTTATACTTTCATAGTTTTGCAAGTAAATTGAACCCTCTAACAATTCCCTATGAGTAACAAGTAAATGTTATTGTCCCCTTTGGATACTTATGAAAGCCATAAGATACGTAGAACGATTTGCTGAAGGCCATGCAATGAGTCAGTGTTATATCCAATATTATAGATTACAATCATTGCTCTGAGCAGCTGCGGAGCATGGCGTAGACCAGATCAATACGTGCCGAACTGTGTGCTATTTTTAGGGGAGAGTTCACTCGTCCTTCATTTTCTGTTTCCTTGCTGTGTATACCCTCTTCCATATACTGTGCCGTTAGACCAATAATACATTCACGTATGTCCTTAGAAGCATTTTTCTATTCTGGTACAAGTGGGAAAGAAGTACAATGAATAGTTTTCTTGTTTTAATCTGCAAAACACTTGTCCTTATGACATAGGATGTATTGTTTACTAATGTCTTTCCTGAAGTCTTTGAAGCTGTTTTTGTCATTATATGATTCATTAATCGAGAACATAATTATTAACAGGTTTTATGTTGCAGCATTAAAAAAGAAGAGAGTGCGCTGCTTCTAGAAAACGCTTATGTGGAATACTGGGAAATTAATGACATAGTAAATAATTTAGTCACTGAGTAAGGGAATACTTAAGAATGCATCTCAGTCATTACAGATGTCTGTTAATAGGGCTTTTTTCTTCAGTTATATTTCCTTGTTGATGAAAATAAGCTGATTCTTGATTTTCTGTTTTCATTAAGAAGTGACTTTCCTCTCTGCGTGTTAATGTTCTTTTTTCCTGTATTTCCATTATATATTGTATAAACACCCAGGAATCTTAGATAAAGAAAACTCTAAAGGTATTTTCCCCAAAATACACTACAACATTTTCCTAATGAAACAAAGAATCTTCTTTTTAGTCAAACTAATGAATTTTGGGACAAAGAAAAAAACCCGCAACATCCAATGTGACATGCAAATATTGAAGTACTTTCAATTTACCAAGTCTTGTTTTAAGAACCTGTATTAAAAAAATCAAAGGATGATAATGTTGATATCACAGCTCAACGAGCCTAAACTTTTATATCACCAGTATCACAAATCTCGACTAGTAAATAACCAGTGCAATACTGTCATAGTCTGGCTTAGCTTTTTAAGTATACAAATGTAATGCAAGTTTTTTCCTCATACAGGTTTTCATACATTTCTTATACAATTATCAATTACTCCATTATCATAATTCTATTTTATTTTATAGTATTTTGGCAAGTCAGGCAAGTTCTTGAAATTAATAGAAGTAGCAATCAGAATAAATGCAGTATGCTCCTTTACACTATGTCTTTGGAAACCACTCCACACCAATAGGTTTCAGATGCAGCTTAGAGAGGATTTGATTCTGCTTAAGGTGGAGACAGAGCTGGACATCCTCTGTTTGCGCAGACTATTCTAAAAATTTCATTTAGTCATTGCTAAAGTGAGCCTATTGGGATGTATGCTTCACGGTTTCTTGGTGACATAAGGAAGATTGATGTCATGATTCTTCAGTTTTCTGGGCAGCAGAATGAAATGCATGGAGTCTGATACTCCACTAGGCAAAGCCCTCCAGCAGATGTGAGTAGGAGTCCAGAAGTATATCTGCAGTGTACCTAAACTGGAACATCCTTCACTTAAAATTATTAACCACTGAACACATCTGATTCACAATTTTAGCAGCCTGAAGAGTGTTCAGTTTTTGGACTAAGCGTTGTCTCTGACTTTTCCAAATGTTAAGAATGTATATGCCCTCAGATTTACACCGGATGTCCCTTTTAAGTATCTCTCTCCCTCATTTTTTTATTGTTCTATTAGATGGATGAATCGTTTGGGTCTCGCGGCAATTGGTTACACACCTGATGACAAGGATATCCATCCAGATGAAGGTAATGCTTCAGAGATTATGATTAGGAGAAGAGAGCAGAGAGTACATATCCGTTCATTATTTGAACAAAGTTGGAGATGTCATAACTGACTTCTTTATTAACATACGTGCCATATCTTTTAAAATACCAATTTTCATAAGAATCCCTATCCTTCACAAACTATATTTATTGGTGCCACCACCAAAGGAAATAAAATCCTGAGTAATAATTTTAAGAAATATTTAAAGCAAGTGATAAAGAGAATGCAAGGTTCAGGGTGAAGTATGATCTCCCCGATCACAGCCATCGGGTATGCTCATCACCCATCGCAAGCGAAGGCGTCACACACAGAGGTCAGTATGTGCTCTAGAACCATTTTTGCAGCCCAGCTGCCAGCCACGCCTTTTCCACCATCACCCATGGTGGAGCCTGTTATGCTAACATAATTAAATTAATTATTGGGTTTGTGTACAGTGGGAGCTAGGTGCCTATCCTGCTTTCTTTGATGCTATCCTAAAAATGTGAAGGTTCTTTTACGTATCTGCGTATCTTAGGTGCCAGATATTTCCGCAAGTCTGTTCCATAGTGACTGCCAAGCCCCCTAGGTGACTGTGAAATGTTTGCCTTTGCATGCGAATGATATTTTTAAAAGATGGGACCAGCTTTCTTGTGGAAAAGCGCATGAGTGAAACCCAGAATGCTTTGTTAGCAGATTACTGGAGTGAAAGCGACCAGGATGACATCGACGGCTCTTTAACCCTGAAGCAGGAAGGCTCTTCAACGCTGTGTGACACCTACCATCGAACACCCTCAGTGAGTTATAAATATTGCATTTGACAGTAGGTCACCAAAGAATATCTGTGTGCCTTCATTTGCATTTTCCTTGTTTTGGAATATTTAATTATCATGGAGGCAGAACAAAGACGGCTGTCATTGTAAGAGTGAAATTACTGCTGTTCCTCTCCAGCTAAGACTTTGAATGTTTCCACAACAAGTCAATTACCAAGGAAGGAGAGGTAAATGTCTCCTTACACAGACATGTCACCAGACTGTAAATATGACATTTTTTGTAGGATTTGGGAGATTACACGTAATAATATGAACAGAATATTCCAATGTTGCCTTTACTGCAGAATATGAGAAGGTTGCGGTGGATGGGATAGTTTGTATTAACTGAGACTGGTTTTTAAGCATGAATATTAGATATTGGATGCTAGAGATTCAGATCAGATCACATTCATGCAGTAATCATGTTTTAGTACAAACACTTTTTTAAGAACTTATCTTTAGAGACAAGGGGGTTTTCTTGCAATATGAAGCATTGTGTACAATACCATAGTAGTGACAGTATTTTCTGTTAGTGTCATAAGATGTTAAGTAGCTGATAAAAATACTTCTAATATATTGTGTAAAGACAGGTTTTGATAACTAAGAAAAAAAAAACCCATTTTGCATATAAACAGGCTCTAGCAGCAAATAAGAACACTTCTATTCTACAGAACATAGACATGCTGTGATAATTATTCTATGTTTCTAAGCGCAGATAGGACTGTTCTCTATTTTTCTTTCAGATTTTTCTTCAGCGTGAATGACACGATCCTCACACAGCCAGAACCAAAGAAAGAGTGACTGAGACAACAGCATCACATGGGTGAAGTTCAGACTGATTTTCACCCATGTGATGCTGTTTTATCAACTGGGATACAGGTTAAGACCCTCCCTTTCTGTTTTACCACTTTTTTTGCCTTTCTCTTTGTTTCTGAATTAAAATTATACACAGACCCAGCAGAATTAATTAAAATAATTTGAGAAGTTCAGCAGTCCCCCCAAATTCAAAAATATTCCTGGGTGCTGAAGTTTGTTTTTTTTTTTTTTTTTTTTTTTCCTGTTTGGCTGGATACTTATCCCATAAAACAAGAAAAGAAATCCAATTATGGTTTCTTTTGGGGGCTTTCATGTCTTCATAGCACACTGCTGGACTGCGTGTAAACTGGACAGGTCTTCAGGAAACCTGTACCAGTATTATACTGTTCTTTCCAGCAGGAGTTGCTCATGGGCAGAGAATGTGTAAAACAAGAATAGGGAGTGGTTAAAACATAGCACTTGCATAAAAGATCTCACTGCTAGTTATGTTCTGTTTATGGAGGTTCATATTACGACATATCAAAACACACACATCAGTCCATTTTATTAGTATATATCATAAAATATTCTACACTATAGTAATTCTCTTGGATCTGTTCAAAACGTTGTCTTATAGTCAGATGCTTTTGTATCTTTTCAGGTGAATTCTTCAAGTCCATTCCCTGAAGCCAAACACGGTCGACACTTTTCAAGTGAATCAACATATTCTCATTCTTCTGCTGAGGATTCTCGACACGATGTAGCAGGAAGCACACACTCATCAGGATGCAGACCTCCCTATCCAGAAAGGCGCTCGTGGCAGGATCTGATAGAGACTCCGTTAACCAGTTCAGGGCTCCATTTTCTTCAGACTGTTCCTCCCGACGCAGAGTACCTAAGTGGCCGGCCTGGAATGTCACCAGACAAACGAAGACAAGCAACGCTACCTGTACAAAGACGTCATAATTATGAGCAGGATGGGCCTTTCCCTTTGGTGGAATGTCAACGGGGACACAGCTCTCATAGCAGGCCACAGAAGCAACGTAGTCAAAGCCTTCCCCGAAACAGAGATGTCAGGGGTAAGGGACGTGTAAAGTCCATCGAAGGAACAGATGACAAGCTAGAAGAGAAAGTTCCTATTAGAAGGCATAATAGTTTCTGTGCAGAAGGTAAGCTTCTGGAGATGTTCTGATCCTCTTCACTGCCATTGAGTGCCAGGGCAATATTGCCATTATTCTCAGCAAGGTTTTTGTAGTTGAACCGTTACATGTTGGCAAATTCATCAGTCCCTACACTTTTTTTTGCCTGGATGTAGTGCTAAGAATATAGCTTTGGGGCTGATCAAAATGTTTCTGTTTTATCAAAACAGAAATGGGAAGACTGTGTTATAGGGTTACTTTATACACGAATTTGCAGCACTGCTTGCTGGTTTTAGAGACTTCACCCGAATGATTAGATTTGTCGTTAGGTTTCTTTATTTTCTTTCAGAAAACATAAAAGAAATTGGAGAAAATACAGATGGCCTGCAAGAGCTATACAGATCTCTGGAACAAGCTAGTTTGTCGGCTTTTGGAGAGCAGCGGCCTTCCACCAAGCAGGAATTCCGCAAGTCCTTTGTAAAGCGATGTAACGATCCAGTTATCAATGAAAAGCTTCACCACATCAGAGTTCTCAAGAGCACTTTAAAAGTAAGGCTTTATCATTAATTTTGTGTATGAGCAATATAAACTAGTAAAGGTATAATCTCTTCATGTTTTCCATGGATGAGGCTTTCTTTGTAACTTTTGAATTAAGTTCCAAAAAAACTAAAAATACTTGAAAACAAACATCTTCCAGCTTAAGGAAAAAATAAATGATTTGGCACTCTTTATAGGCTTATTGTAGAAAGTGCCAAGGACTGAGCTGTCAAACAGTTTAAGCTGTAGTAGTTGCTGAATATAGGTAAAAGATTCAAGTGTCCATAGTAGTTTCCCTAGCAGTTTGCATTAAAATGAAAGAAGAATTAAAGTGCCAAAATAAAAAATGTGGCATAAATTTCATTTTGACATGTACTGTGTCTTTCTGGAATCTGATAGGCGAAGGAAGGGGACCTCACAGTTATCAACAGCCTTCTGGATGATCCCAACTTAACATCAAAGAAGTTTAAAGATTGGAAACTAAAGAACTATGAGTTTTTCCTGGACATTTGTGAGTACAGTGCTGCTGTGAAATCTCAAAATGGAGCCTCTGAACTTGCAACCTCAGCACCGATGCTGACCCATACACACTCCTTCATTGAAACTCACGTGTGACAGGACTCATATCCTGAATAATTGCTGGGTGCCATGAAAAATCGAATAAGACAAACACTGTAATATTTATTGATAATGTACTCAGCAGTACTGTAAATAAGTTGGATAAGAGAATAGTGCCACAGGATGCCTACTACATTGCATGATAAGACAATAATATTCTTTATGAATATTTTTTTGTTTGCTATTATCAACCGATGTCCGTATCAAGCTCTGCATTAGAAAGAAGCAGTGCAGAAGTGTAACTGAAAATAAATACCAGTATATTTAAAGTACTGTACTAAAACTAAGCTTATAGTATGAGCTCCTACAATCATTTTATATATTTAGATATATATAAAGACATATCTATGTATATAAAATGTAACATGGTAGTTGACATTTACTTTTAAAATGCCCTAAAGTTCACATTTTCACACATTTTTTTCTTGAAAAAAATAGAAAACGAAACCGTAACTACATTGGCCACTCTTAGAGATGAACGTTTATTTTTGCAACATTTCCAGGTAGTGACCATCTTTGCAAATAAAAGGACAGAGTTATCAAAATGTAAACTCAATCCCTATAGTGTGCCTTAAAATGTACACTGTACATCTAGCAAATAGATCCCAATCTGGCCCTATGGGCATACTGTACATGCCATTTAGATACTGTGTTTGTAACATACTGTGCCTGCCTTTAAAATGAATGAACATAAGCAAGCAGGTATGGCACAGAGGTTAAGATATGAGTAGAACAATGTCGGTTGTTCACTAATGCTGCAACTTAAACTGATTTTAATATAATTTGAGGTATTTCATGGTGAAAGAAAAACATCTGCGCGCTGAATATGGTACATGCTGCAGGTTTTCGTAGTTTCTTCACTGTGAATTTAAGTGACACATGACTGTGAGTCACAAAATTCAAAAAAGCTCTGATGGTTCGAGGATGAGAATGAAGTTTAGAAAAATCCTGAACTAATCAATTAAATTCTGTAATAGACTGACATCTAGAGCTGAGGAAATTATTCAAAATTATATAATGTCTGGCAATAATTTTTAACTGTTAGTAGTACATTAGCAAGCGGGTGAAGTTATTCAATACATCATTTGAAAGCCAGTCCGTATTGATTGGTTTGGGAGGACACACGAGTCACATAGTGTATTTCACTTCCTTGCCT